ATAGAAATGGAAATGTTATAGCAAAAGACTGGTTTAGTCTTTATGTGAGACATCATGACTCGTGTCCCATATGCTTCGGATATAGGATCGATTTCATGTGCTATATTCATCCTTTCTAAAATTTTCCAAATGCCTGGGGCATTAAGAAGGGAAAAGGTCTAGAACTAGATATGACTAAAAGGATTAAGCAATTGTCGAGGACAATCTAAGGTTTACCAAAGATTGGTTGCTCAAGGACAGTTGGAAGTATAGTGTTAATTCTGGAAGGACCATATTGACATAATCTGTAAGGAGGCAACTCTTGTTCAGAAGTGATAGTCAAAATGGAATATGGAAATGTTTCAAAGTTGGAAATTATTCAATCTGTGTAAGATTAGGAAACTTAATGCAAGAAGGATGTTTCCAAGGAGTTGATCTCCTTGGAATGCTCTGTAATGTTTGTTGTCAAGTCTTGTGACTCTGTGCATAATCATTACAGGAGGATCAATGCATATAAGTTTAGAATCTAACAGATTTCAGTAAATGGCATGAATTTGGAATTCTTGCATTTGCAGTAAGGATTTGGGACTGTGAAAGAGGATCATTGGAGTTATGTTCAATTGATCTAATTCACAAAGTGAAGATCATAGACAAACATAGTATGCATACTTGGTGTATGGCATGACTAGTGTTTAGAAAACATAGTGTACCTGCTTGGAGCATGGGACAACTATTGTTTTAAATTCAAGAATAAAGTTGATAGCTGAAACAGTATACAATGAATAATGTGTAATCATATGGTGATAAATAAAAGGTGTTTTATTTATGTTCATAGGTTTTGATACCATATTAGATTCTATTATTATTGTGTTTCATTTTGCATATTTTGACTTCCAGAATAACTAGGTCGTTCTTCCTGATTGACTAAGTTATTCAAACTATCCACAGTCGGTCATATGTTGGAAGTAGATATGAATCAAGACTGTCATGGGTTGGCTTGTAGAGGTCTAAGATGTTGGACAAGGGGCTACAACACTCATGAGTGCTCATAAGTTCTGAGTATTGGATTCAACCCGCGCTCATTGGAATCACTTCATGGATTTTATCACGAGTGATCATGAGACGATAATATCTTATATTCTTCAAACCTAGAGATATGAGTTGTTACTATGAGTTGGTTGTACATTGATTGCACGAAAACGCATTCGGTAACTCGGTGTTATAAAACGTGCCTTTGTGTATGATTCAACAAGTAGTAGAACAAGCCATATGAGTCGAATTTTATCCATTCCTTTTACCTTCGGGATAAAAGCGATATATGTGGGCCCCTCGATGATTTGATGATGACAAATGGAAGTGCTCGGCCGAGCCAGGACTGATTTGATTTGTTCAATTAGTCAGTCGTCATAAATCGGAAATCGGGAAACAACAAATGGACAGAGAGAATGATTATAATCCATGTCTCAGTCCATATGATATCTAGAATGGAGGAATATATGATCCCTTATCTAATGGATAAGTCATTGACAAAGGTCAGAGTTCATCTACAAGGTCAGAGTTCGACAGCGGCTTTTGAGAGCTACGATTGCCAGTTGGTTCCTGAAGTCATACGCAATAATAGTTTTAGACTTATCCAAGTGGGAGACTGTTGGATTAGTGTCTAAGTCCATAACTATAATTGGTATGTACTTGACCCGACTCGGCATGGTCCATTTGGGTTGCATGGCATCGGAACATTTGGATAGACCGTTTATGAGGAAAAGAAATTTTGTGACATATTAATATATTATAAGTTCTAATATATTAATATGAAATCATGTTATTTAATTAGTATTGATCAAGAATTAATTTGGACTTAATTTAGTGATCAAAAAGAGACTAATTAAATATATGGGGATTGATTGTGTAAATCATTCATTCTTATATATGTGGGCTTATGATCCAAGATTCCTTTATGTTGGGTTTAACCCATGTGGTGATCCATGGATACTCCATGGAAGTTAAAACCCATGGAGCATAAGGAATGGGTAAAGTCATGAGTTACATGGTGTAACCCTAATAGCCACACTATATAAGAACCCCTTTAGTTCAAGAAATTGGCACTAGTGATACATATTTTGAGGGCTAGCCGATTTGAACATGTATGTCTTCTTCTCATGGTTATTCCAAGAGTTCATGATGTTGTGTGAACCATTTCAGGTGTCACACTTGGGGCACTAGGCTCTCAAGCTTCATGGAGTCAAGCAACAACAACAAGGTATGTATTCTATCTATTTTATTATCCTAGTATCAATGTTTTGGTATGCTAGTTAGGATAATACCTTGGATAATCATATTTGTATGTATAATAGAGAAAACATAGATCCAAAGGTATTTAGGGTTGCATGTACACTTAGGAGTGTTAGAATGCTCAAAACCCATCATCTACAACCTCCCAGTTGGATTACCCTGGCCCACAACCTCCTGGTTGGAATACCCTGGCCCACAGCCTCCCGGTTGGATTGCCCCGGTCTGTTGACTGACAACACAGAGCAGTAGTCTCAACCCCAACATAACATGTCGACATATAACAGATAACAAGCATATTCAACAAACAGATAATTATCAGGATATCAATCCAATGGGCCGGCTTTGGTTCCTTCGACCCACAAGTCTAATGAGGAAAACTCACCCCTCAATCTGAAAAAGATTGCTGAATAAGACACAGCTCTGAATACCATCTCAAACGGTAACTATTCATCAAATAATGACTAATCTCAAATACCACTCAAAATACCCAAAATACCCTTAGGTCAAACTTGGTCAAAGTCAAAAAGTCAAACTTGGTCAATACAAACTGAGTACGCTGGGCGTACTCAGCCTATACGCAGGCGTACTCGGCCCTTGACCAAAAACACAAAGCTGACCTAGTACACTCAACGTACCAATCCGTACGGCCAACATACACATCCTTCCTTCAATCTTTATATTAAAAGCTTATTCCCTTAAGCTCTTTCGTCCAATTCTCAGATCTGCCCATAAACTAATGTCCTTAACCATAAAGTTTCCAACTTTATGGCCTTGCATGACCATCAAGTGTCCAAACACAAAAACCCTAACTACTTAACCCATTAAGACCTTGTAACTCATGCATGGAAGGACTCTAACAATGAAGATTACATCTTTATGCTTATAGATGCTTCAAAACGTCTGAAAGGACGAGTTATACGGAATAGAGTAACCCGTATTCATATACCAAGCTTATGGGACCAAAAGAACACCATTTCATAACTAAAAATATCTAAACAACTCTTAATCAAGTTCAGAGCTTCTTACCTCCAAATGATGTTGCTAATTTGGATCTAAAGAGTCTCATTCCTCCAAGATGATATTCTCTTCTTCCTCTCTCCTTCAAGGTTACCAAAACACACACAAAATGCTCAAGAATACTCTATAAAGGATTAGGGTTTGCTTGGGGGCAAAACTGGGTTGGAGGTTGGAGGTTATGACACGTACGCCCAACGTACGTGAGCTCCGCCCAAATATTACAAAAATGCCACTTTGGGCCATTTTGCAACACTTCTCATACACAAGGGCCAAAATGCAAATGATCTTCATACTTAAGGTTTAAAATGAAAATACCTCAAAGTCAAAATGTTATAAGATCTGCCACGAATGAAATCGTTTTGCTTAAGAAATCGTTTATTGGGTTTTATTCTTCAAAAAAACTGAAGTTTTTCTCAAGAAATCTTTTCAGATTTGCTTAAGAACACCATGAACGGAGGTTGAAGACAATAAACGGTAATATGATGTGTATGTATATATGTGTTCATCATATATTTGATGTATGTGTTTCAGCCTCCAGAAATCGAAGTGTGTGTGTGTATGCATGTGTATATGTGTGTATGTGTTCATATTCTTTGTTTGTAGATCTTCATCGTGGTCATCTTCTTCCCCGATCTGGGTTTTCAGTTTTTGTAACGATTTTTAGATCAGTGTGTGTGTTTATGCTTGATTTTGGAACAACGCACATACACTTCTCACTTCTCTCTTCTTTGTGAAGTCGATTTTGGAACAACACATACCACCTTTCAATCCCCATTGAACACCATCATCTGAAAATCATAAACCCTATAATTCAATTTTAATGGTGGTTTGGAGGTTGAAGACGATGAATAATGATATGATGTGTATGTATGTATGTTTATATATATTTTTTTTTGTGTATGTGTTCTTGAATTTGAAATATATTTGATGTGTTAATCTTTGTTTTCTGAAAAGATTATGTTTTGCCGGAAAAATCATGAACATCGGATCCTCGCCGGAGAAGATGACCGGAGACTCGTCAGTAACCGGTTAAACCTATGATTGCAGGTCATAAAGATGTTTTTTGTACGGTTCAACAAGTTCAATGAGAAAATATGGACAAAAAAACTCGGTGATTAAGTGTCTACAAATCGAAAAATATGTTACCTTGTTAAGTCATTATCTCTTTTCATAATTTGCTACTATCTAGTAAACTATAGAATTGTCCTTTTGTTGTCTATTGTTCATAGTTCATTTTTTTTTCTCTAAACCTTATGTCCTTAGGTTTTTTCGTTTGTTACGAGATCTTTGTGTTACTAAATCATGTAAAATGACTAAAATTCCACAAAAAAATTTTCTTAACATTTTTTTAGTATTTTTGTTTAAACAGTCAACCATTAGGACAATATTGTAATTAACGCTTAAGAAAATTGCAATATTAAAATGGATACTTATTTTGGTAAGAGTTTTTAATTACAAATGATTGCAAACGATTTTAAATGAAAACTAAATGATCTTTGATAACTTATATAAAATGGTATTAGGTAGTAATTACTAATAAAATTGAATTCAACCTATAACATATAAAAAAATTCTTGTACGACCTATCATACAACACCATATTCTAAGAAAGTCCTTCCCACCAAATCATATTATGAAACGGCCAACGTGCATCCATCAAACACCTATCCAACATATATATTTATAGAAACCAGCATACAAGCATACTTGGAATTCACCAAAATATTATTAGAATGGCTTCAAGGCCATTCTTTTCGAAGCAAAAATCTCTCCCATTCTTCCTGCTCCTCCTTTGTCTCACCATCACGCTTCTAATCCACACCACCACCACCACCCTCCGCATTGATAACCATGTTCAACCAGTAACCACCTCCCTCCACCTTCTAGCCACAGAACCACCACCTTGGTATGACAGACTTCGGTCCATGATCAAGAACGGTTCTGATAAGCTAAAACTCGGGCTGGTTAACATTGGAGCTAATGATATACAAGTTGACGGCTTTGCTGACGTGACCACCATAGATTTTGAAAGAGTTCGAGGAGAAATAAAATGGGAAGATTTGTTCCCTGAGTGGGTGGATGAAGACGGGAAGTGGGGTCCGATGAAGTGCCCAGAAATCCCTATGCCTCAGTCATATGGGATGGTGGACGTGGTGGTGGCAAGGGTTCCAGACGGTGGTCGGGATGTGGGTAGGTTGCAAGTGAATTTAGTCGTTGCAAATGTTTTGGTAAATAGTGGGTGGGAGGATGGTGGTGATAGGGAGGTGTATGTGGTGTTCATTGGGTGGTCAGGACCAATGTGGGAGATATTTAGGTGCGATGATATGATAATGGAAGAAGGTGATTACAGGATATATAAACCAGATATGAAAAGACTCCGGCAGAAGGTGAATATGCCTGTTGGCTCTTGCATGATTCCATCTCTACAACCTCCTGGTAATCCTTCTTTGTTCTTTATTATTATTATATTATTCATCCTGCTCACAATTAAATTCACTTACGTAAACAAATTTGATTTGTTTTTAAGTCAATTTTGGACCCCCTCTTTTATATATATACACGCAAAGCTAATGTATACTAAATATAAATATATTATTAGACTTGTTCTTTGATGACATGACATGATAATATATGTCTCGATCCTTTTGCTAGTTTTATTATACGATTCAGCATATCGTTTTACCATGTCACGTAATCCAGTGATAAGTTTACAAGTTTACTTAGAGTTAGTTGTTTGTTTATAGATGAAGAATTCATGTTTATAGACGAAACGTCAACCACTTTTTATTATAGATAAAAAGATGTCCAATATTTTATATGTTTAATTAACTTGTTAAAACAAAAAACTATAACGCACTAGTTTTATAAATTAACAAAAAATTAAATATTAGTATAATGCATATATAAATTAGCGAAAATGAAATACTATACGTACAGTTAATAAAATAACAATGTTATATAAATAAATATTAATTGATTAACCATCTTATATTATTAGATATTTTGGTCAAGATCTTAAATAATATGAGGCATGACCTCATGTTGCGACAATGTTAAGGTTCAAATATTATGAATCATAGCGAGCTACATCATTTGTTTGTTAAAACGTGATTTAAGGCGAAAATTTTATATGTAATATATATATATATATATATATATATATATATATATATATATATTCAATGTTTCGTAAGATATGGTGTCAGGTATAAGTTTTATAGCAATGGCCAACTTTTATGATTTTGGTTACAAAATAATATATATATATATATATATATATATATATATATATATAATTTTTTATTATATATTGAAAATAATATCATTTTATACATAAACTAGATGGGAGACCCGTAACTACACGAGTTGGTTAAAAAATGTAAATATAAAGTGTAAACATTAAATATTTTTTGAAGTAAAATTTTAAAATAAATACAAACGAAATGATGAATAAGTAAATAATTTAATTTATACTAATAAAAAACTATTGACTTGTTTTAAATAATTGTGCTGAATATTAATTTAGGTTTAAAAATTAAAAAAAAATTAACTTAAAATTTTGAAATAAATACAATAAAAACATGAATAAGTTAGTAATTGAATCTATAATAATAAAAAAACTATTGAAATACTATAAATTATTTTTATTAATCACAAATTTCCAAAAATTTCTTTGAATAAAAAATTAAATGTCGTATTGCTAAGTTTATCGTTATTGTCTAAAATTAATATTTTTAATCAATCTCTGATTATAACTGTAGACAATGAAACATACAATTATCCATAAATGAAAATTGGTTGTTTAAAAAACAACCCCCACATTCGATAGCGATTGTCTTGACTCTTGTATACTGTCATCGTAAAATATACAACCAGTGAAAATTGTCTTTTTTGAAATGTGAAATAAATCATTTTATCTAAAGGCATCAAAGATATTATTGGAATAAACGTATGGTTTATTATATTACTTTCGAAAATCATTTATGCTTCTGTAATACACTTACCCAATGCTATAACTCGTAGCCTCATTATTTTGTGTCTGTGCTTGTTTTTTTATGTTTCGAGATAACTTTTATCAATATAATCGTTAATATGTTGAAACGTAAAAAAAAATAAGCATGAAAACATATAAAATAATTTACATTGAATGTAGACAAAATCAAATTTATATGGACAAGTATATAAAAAAAAGAAAGTAAACTTTTTGTAAAATTAATGAACAAAAATTCTAAAATTACGTCGAAACGTTGACCACATTGAATTCATACCTACACATACATAAACATTAGTTTTTTTTAAGTTAACGAATAAAAATGTTCATGTGACCCGCTTCATACATAGAGAACGTACATAAAATTGAACACGAAAACATAAAAAATTATGCCGAACCGTAGACAAACTCAAATATAATATATTTTTTAAAGTTAACGAACGAAAATTATTATTATATATGACCCAACTCATACGTAAGAAATGTATATAAATTTAAGCACAAAAACGTATAAAAAATTACATCAAAATGTAGACAAACTCGAATTTAAACCAACACGTTTCATAGCGATGACGAACTTTTTAGAACCATGACTATATATATATATATATATATATATATATATATATATATATATATATATATATATATATATTACTATTAATCATTTTTATATGAATATATGAATTAAGTCGATGTTTCTTAAAATGTCAGGTATAAGTTTTATTGCAATGACTGAAATTTTTAGAACCATGATATATATATATATATATATATATATATATATATATATATATATATATATATATATATATATATATATATATATATATATATATATATATATATATATATATTAAAAATAATATCATTTTATACAAAAAGATAACTCCAATACTTGAATCAATACAATGATTAAATTTAATTATTTAATATATTGAGAAAATAAAAAAGTTGACTTCCTTGGGATCATCTGTTTAATTGTATTGTATCTTTCCTTTCCACTTTAACTCTTGTCGAAGGAATTGCAATACATCACAATCCCAAGTTCACAAACTATGATAAAGTTGATTGAGATTAAATCCTCAAAAATTAGTTATAATGGTTATTTATTTATTTTTTTATTTTTTTTAAGAACGTATAATGGTTTGATAGGTACTAAATTATGTATTGTTACATACTAAATTATGTACTGTTGTATTGTATTTTTCCATTCCATAAACCGCACCGCAAAGGTTTTTAATCTAAAATATGGTGCAGTCTAAATGGTTATGATATCCGTTTTAAGATTGCGTAATTTTAATTCTCGTGTAGTAATCTAATTAAAATTACACATGGATTAAGGTTTTATATATATTATGCAATATTTGCTTAACGCGAAAAGAACTAAAATTACACAATATTTAATAAATGATATTATTATACGGGCAATATCATACGAAACTCCATTATAGTGCACCGCACCGTATGTGCAGTTTACAACCCTTGTGGTGCGGTTTTCGAAAATCTCAAACCATACATTACACTCTAGTTTGCAGCAAGGACTAAACACGAATGCTAAAACTAGAAGGGCTAGAAACAAAACTTAAAAAAACATATAGCAAGTTTAATTTGATTTAAGTTATATGATATATTCAAGGGAAAATAACTTAAAATGACAACCAATAACACAAAACTTGTTTTTTAGTCACTAAAACTTTTAATTGTATCCAATAAGGAAACCAACTTTTTATTTTGGTTGTAAAAGATTATGATTTTTATCGATTAAATGATAACGAACATCGTCATTACCCTTGTCATATCTAACTAAAAGCATATTGTAATTATTTTTCTCAAACCACAACCGATAACCATTAGCAAAGCGATATTGTTTTGTGACCTTGCCATTTTAATCGGTAAAAATCCATGTAGTTGAAGTTGTGGTTTGAGAAAAAATGACTATGATAGATTATTATTTAGACGTGACAAGGGAAATGACGGTGTTCGTTTTCATTTTAATTGGTAAAAATCGTAATCGCTGGTATTTTAAAACCAAAATAAAAAGTTAGTTTGCTTATATGATACAAATAAAAGCTTAATGACTTAAAAAACAAATTTCAGATTGTTGGTTACCATTTTAAGTCATTTTCCCTACATTCAAAAAGTAAAGAAGAATTCGTAAAAGTTTATTAACCAACAAGGGACCAACCTAAATATCCTTCAGAGGGGTCAATTTTTCTACGGTTGGAGAGTAAGTTTATTTTAACTTTTAAAAATATTTATCTATATTATTGTTGATTACACAACTCAAATAGTCAAATAATAATCAATATCCCAAACTTTGTTTTGCACAAACAAAGAAAATTCTTTAATAACAAAATTTATTAACATAAAAGAATAAACTAACAATAAATGACAATAACTGAATCACTTACCACAAACTTATTAAGTAAAACAAATAACTTACATATACAATTACATTTAAATAACTATAAAATATATGGTAATCGAAATTAATCACATAAATAACCCCCCATTAGATATAATATAAGTGTTCCCATTTTTTTATTTTTTTCACTTTTTAAAAAATTTAACGGTTAAAAGAATCCAAGCCCAACAACCCATTAAAATTCCCGAAGCCAAGGTCCAAGGATAAAAGCCTTTTTTTACAGAAGACGTAATCACAACTGCTTTTTGGATATGTGGGAGGAGCGGCATTGAAGAACTAAATACTACTACTCAACGAGTTTTTAGAAAACACATCAAAAAATATTAGTAAAAATCTATAAAAAAAACTATTAAACAAGTTTCTTTTAAAATGTAATTATTTTTTAAAAAAAACGTTGAAAAAAAGTTTAGTAGTGCTTTTTGAAAATAAAAATCACTTTGATGCTAAATTGTGTACAAAAGATGTCATTCAACAAACGTATACATGAAAAATAGTTTGTTGTCTTATAAAGTCATTAACCCACCATAAGACCTGTCGGAAACCGGTTAGGCTGGCTATTGCAAACTAAAATGGAACATTTTTAATAACAATATGATTTGAATGATAAATCGTGTGCAACTAAGGTATCGTGACTAAATATGTAGAAGGAACATAGTTTCTTACGTCTTACGAGGTATCGTTATAGTTTTCAGTCATATAAACATCTGTGTTTTTTTCCTCCGTAAATGTAGGGCTGTTCATTATTTGGATAAAACCGAACTGTTCAATTGGACAACTTGGATCGGAATATTTAGTTCGGATATTTGGATTTTTTGATTGGTTTTCAGCAAAACCGAATTATTATTCTGGATTTCGGATTGGTTTTGGTTTATAAACTAATGACCGAATAGTCCAAAAAAACTGAATAACAACTTATTATCTATTTTTCATATGTCTCTTTAACTATTTATAAATTTACTAAATTATTATTTTTAATTATTAGAAATTTTCATCGAATATAATATTTTAAAATTACTTCTTATCAAAAGTTTTGTCAATGAAATATTAACTATAATAGTATTTTCTTAGTATTTGTTTTTAAATTATAATTTATAAAAAAAGATTAGTTTCTTTATAGATTTTGCTAATATTTAAGTTATATATTTTTCAAAATGTTTGCCTCTTGAAAACCGAATTGTAAAAACCGATCCAACCGAATTGTAATTTGGTTGGATCAGATCGGATTTAAATTTAGTTTGAACTATTCGGATCAATGTTTTGAAAACCGAAATCTATTCGGATTCACTTGATTGGATCGGATCAAACCGATCCATCCAAACGAACACTCCTACCGTCCTACGTAAATATACAACTACTTTTTAAAACTGAGCGAATTCAGTTTTAAATTTTTTTGATTTTTAAGGTATTCACGAAAACTAGTTTTCTCCAAATCAGTTCGGTTCTAAATTCATTTCCTTATAAATTGTGAACCAGATTTCAATCTTGTTTTATTGATTTCCAACATTTTTTTTTTCACAAGGTCGATTCGTAACTAGTTATTATTATACGTGCTTAATTCGGTTTTTAAACATCTTGAATGCGACACGGTTAAATTCAATCAGATATCCTAATCGGATAACTGGTTTCATTGGGCACCTATATTTCTTTTGGCGTAATGTGGGACATCTTTTAATAATTTTAAACAAAACCATTAATATTCTGATTTTAATCCAAAGAAAAATTAGACGTTGTATATTTTGAGTTCGATTTTAAATCTTTTAGGTTTGAACCGTCAATTATCGGTTTGGGGAGTGAAATTTTATATCTATACGTTCTTCTGATTATTGGTATTCAACGATTTATCTTTTAAATGATAATATTGGGGGAAGTTTGAACTTTTTAAGATTTTTCTTAAAAGTTAAAAACTAAAACTTTTACAAAATTTTTAGCATTTTCAAGAAAAATAAAGTCTAAATCCTCGAATTTATAAATGGCCATGCAATTTTATTTATTTATTTATTTATTTTGCTTAAAATCAAACTGAACCAAAATAATCGATTTATGAAATCCAATTTATTTATTTAGAAATAGTTTAGTTTGTGAAATCCTTGTGGCTTTTGCCAAATAATAGTATCGCCAAGCACATATTATTTATACATTATTTTTTAGAATTTAAAGTAAAGTCTATATTTGTTCATTTCCAACCATAGTCTAGATTCTATTTTACACTATATAATTAAAGTGTAAAATAAATTGTGTGGAAGATTGCACCTATAATTTACACTACAAGTTTTGAGCAACTATTTAAAGAGTAAAATATAGAGTTGAGTTGCAACATTTACTCTATTTTATACACTATAAATATAATGTAATAACAAAAACAAAGTAAGCTTGGTATATATCTAAATAGAGTATTCAATGAACAAAAAAAGAAAAGAATTACGCTAACTTTTTGTTAACTTAAATGAATATACATAAATCAACTTAAATCTTAGTAAAACATAAGATACGATATTTTAGTAAGAAAGTAAAAATTACAAATGTTGTATGGTTAAGGACTAAAAGATTAATTAATATATAAAGCATTTTCATTTTTAAAATTTAAAGCGACTAATATATTTATATGGTCAAAGACCAAAGGGTTTCTAGCCTAATAATATCTGATGTTGTCTTTTTTTTAGGTAAATGTTTCACGTTCACTGGTGAATATAGATGAAATTAAAAATAGGTTGTTTGTTAAAAAAACAAATACAACGCAATTCCATAAATAATCGAAAAGATATCGTTGATTAATTTGATTAGATTTCTAAAGTGGCCTTCAGATAACTTTGCAAGCTCTTTCTAGAAACAAAACTATAATTAATTGAATTTGATTTTTTTTTTTTTTTGAAAAAAAAGGTTTCACTAAAAAACGTTGATATCTTTTAAAAATTTGAATTAAAAAATTTAGAACTTTTGAATATTAACATTTTTTTGACATGCCATGATGTCATATACTACGAATGCCGACTATAGATATATACAAATAATTTTCAAATCAATAAGGTGAATAGGTGATGCTGACCGCAAACCCTGAATGTCACCAAAAACACGCTTGGAAATTTCTATTATTTACTGTTTATTAATTATTAATTTTCAGGTCGTTCGACGTTTAATGCATACAAATCAAGAGAGGCATATGTAACAGTCCTCCATTCCTCTGAAACCTACGTTTGTGGTGCCATATCTTTGGCACAAAGCATCCTGCAAACGAACTCTACCAAGGACCTACTCTTGCTTGCCGATGACTCTATATCTCAGAAATCCCTTAGAGGACTAAAGGCTGCTGGATGGAAGATCAAGCTTATAAAACGCATACGAAGCCCACATGCAAAAAAAGGCGCATATAACGAGTATAACTATAGCAAACTTCGAATATGGCAGCTCATTGAGTACGACAAAGTTATTTTCATAGATGCGGATCTTATTGTCTTAAAGAACTTAGACGAGTTCTTTCGTTATCCCCAACTCTCGGCTGTTGGAAACGATAAATATATATTCAACTCTGGTGTTATTGTGGTAGAACCATCGAAGTGCATGTTCAATGGCCTGATGAAAAAACGATTCACTTTCACATCATACAATGGAGGTGATCAGGGTTTTCTCAACGAAGCATTTACATGGTGGCATCGGTTTCATACCAAGGTAAACCATCTCAAGGTTTTTGAAGGTACAGACAACCCAGGACGCAAAATTCCGGAAAATGTGCACACGATTCATTATCTGGGGTTGAAGCCGTGGATGTGTTATAGAGATTACGATTGTAATTGGGATATGTCCGGTCGTCAACGTTATGCTAGTGATTCCGCTCATAAAAGATGGTGGAAAGTATACGATGCAATGCCTAGTGATCTGAGGTCTTTTTGTGGCTTGACTAAACATATGGATGTTCGGATAAGGAAGTGGAGAGGGATAGCAAAGAACGCTGGTTTTAGAGATGGGCATTGGAAGATAAAGGTGAAAGATAAGAGACAGGCATTGCATATGGTTTTATGACAATGGGTGTAATCTGTATATCATATAAATCCACTTACGTTTCTTGTTCACTATGTTTTTTTTTTTTTTTTTTTTTTTTGTGATTAGGTGTCAGAAAAAACTAAATGAACCGATCACTTTAGTTTTTGTTTGGTGTTATGTAGACAAATGAGGAGAAGGGAAATTGTTTTGAACTAGGACTACACAGTTATTTTCTATAAAGTAAAACTCTTAAGAATAATTGATTTCATCCCACATAGCCTCAAGCTCATCGTTAAACATATAAACAGATTCCTCTTCGGTTTTAAACCTTTGATTGTTCGGTCGTTGGTTTGTTCACTGCTTGACTATTTGGTTTTAGTTACTAAATATTTCCGACGAAAGCGTTTTGTAGGAAACTTCCGTCTAATTTCCTACAAACTTACGACAAAAATGAAATCCAACAAAATTCCTATAAATTTCCTCTAGAAGTAGATACCCTAAAGATTCCGTCGGAAAAGTGTCGTAGTTTCCTACAAAATACCAACGAAATATTAATTGAAACTTCCCCCGTCCCAAAATTATTGTCCACGTTTGACTTTTGAAGTTTTTCCATGTCAACTTTGATCATAAATAACTTTAACTGTGTTATATAATTTTTGATGAAACTTATAACAATGAAAATACATTTAAAAAACAATCTATTCATATATATTGTATAAAAAATTATATAACAAAAAGTAAATTATTTAAGGTCAAAGTTAAACAAAAAAGACTTAAAAAGTTAAACGTCGACAATAATTTTGGGACAGAGAGAGTATTTAAAATTATAATTCTGTTGGAATTTCATTGAAAATATAATAACAAAAATGTAGAATTTTTTTTCCACCTTTTCCTTCCTTTTGTTTGGCCCAAGGTTGTTAAAATCTTGATTTTGATCTTACGACCTTACGATTTTAAGATTCTATAAGTGAAAAACGATCCCGGTCATACTACGATCTCGATCCCACCTCTTTAGTTTTATTATATATCCGAGTATCAAAATTCATCTATTCATACTTGAAATCGAGTGTCACAAATTGCAAGAAGCCTTCTAGAGCATCACTATTTTATCAATTCATCTCGAGTTAGGACCCATAATAATTCGTTTGTGATCTTATGTCTTACTTGTACATGGTCAAAATGATCTTATTTCTAATTAATATATTTTATTCTTAATGTTTACTGTTTATAGCAACAAAAATTACTGGTGATGCTTAAGAAGTTAAAGTTGATAACACTATCTTGCAAACAAATTTCGATATAAGTTCATTTTGGTAGGATCTTACGATCCCGATCCAATCTTACGATCACAATTTTCCAAAATACAAAACGATTTTATGTAAGATCTCGATTTTGACAACCTAGGTTTACTATAATTATATTATTATTATTATGAATGTGCATGTATGTGTAGTTGTATGTGTATTTTGTTGGATTATGGTGTCTAAACTCATAACTAAATTGATATAAAGTTGCAAATAGAAGCAAAGTCTTTTTTTGGGTTGCCCTCAGAATTAGTAATTGTGTAGAATGACTTTTAGAGAGATGTTGATTTATTTATTTGTTATATGATTAATAAATAGTAATAAATGATTTGTTAATATATTATGTGATTAATATACTAATTAGAATCTAACGGCCCAAAATAATAGTAAAATTTTTCTTTTTTTAAAAACTAGTCAACTCATTCATTGAATTGTTCAGAATAAACATCAAGTCATAATATCCAAAACATCAGAGTACAAATATATCGAATGCAGAAATCGTGAGGGGAGGATGCCGCGCAATCACGTCGGGCCCTTCCCTTTGAAACTGGATGTACCTGAAACCATAAACATAAACTGTAAGCATAAAGTTTAGTGAGTTCCCCCAGATACCACATACCACACATGAAAGGAGATAATACTATGGGCCAAAGCATAGTCATATAATCATTTCCTGCCATGGGCCAAACCATGGTCTTTACGTTCAGTGCCGAGTGCCAAATCTCGGTCTTGCATACACATGTCAGGGGCTAGATCCTGGTCTCTCATATAACTGTCAGTGGCCAGACCCTGGTCTTTCATACAAATGTCAAAGGCCAGATCCTAGACTTCCATATAATCATCACAAGAGATTCAACATTCTAGCTACACAACAAGAAATGTGTCGGCATTGGTGCCTTTGACCCATGGATCTAGTGAGGAAACTCACCTCAACTGCTGAAAAACCAGATAAACGCTCGGGCTGCTGGATTGGAGAAATCCTCATGCTAACTAAACAAACAAAGCCCCAATTAATAATAAGGACATAAACCAAAGCTAAAAACCTACATTACTTGCCTAATGTCCAAGGTAAAAAGGGCCAAGTTATCCTTTTCTTTTAAGCCCAATAAAATCCTAGGCCCAACCCCAAAGATCATCCAAAGTCCAATATGGGCCCAAAATCCAAAGTCGCTCAAAATCTATAGTCCATCCCAACAAGCAAAGCCCAACGATTAGGGACCAAAAATCACCTAAGTTGGATTGGGTCGTACGCTCGGCGTATCAACTGGTACGCGGAGCGTACTTGGCCGGAGCAGGAAAGGGTCGCGACTGAGGTGCATTACGCGCGGCGTACTGGGACTTACGCCCATCGTACGCACCCCAGGGAAAAACTCATTACAAGGTCTTAATTCCTTAAGACATTACGTCAAAACTTTAGATCTAAGCTTAATAAGACCCCTAAGGCCATATAGTTGCAAACTTTATACATTTGCATGGCTACAAGAAATCCAACACTAAAAACCTAGCTTACTCAAACATTTTCTTCACCATAACTCTTGCATAGTGACAAAATCAAGATGCAAGCTTGCATTTTTATGACTTATAAGGCCTTAAAATGTCTGAAATGACACCTTAAATGTTTTGGAGTACCTTCTACTCACCAAGCTCTTGGTTTTTTGGACAAAAGATGAAAATGAAGGCTTAACTAATATCTAAAGAAATATAAGCTATGTTTTAAGCTTTATACCTCCAAATGGTGCACAATGAAGAGAAGATGTTGGATCCAAAGTCTTGAGAGCAAAGCCTACTCCTTGAAGGTCCTTCTTCACATACAGGGAAGCACACAACTCACTTAAAAGGTCAAAATGCTCAAAATGGACTAGGGTTTGCAAGGAGGGCCGATCTTGGGATGGAGGCTGATAAAGGGAAAGGTCTTGGGCCATAATGGTCTTTAAATAGTGCACAAACCCTAAATATTAGGGTTTTGGTCTGAATCACATACGCCCGGCGTACTGGAGTACGCGCAGCGTACTGGCGCGGGGTTCGTACGCCCAACGTACCAAGGTCTACGCCTAGCGTACTCAAGTTGCACCCAAAAGTCATGGATTTGCCCTTGGGGACCTATTTTGCAAACATCCCATAACTCAAGGGTCTAAAAGAAACACCTGGAAAAATAGATGTTACAACTCCCCCACTTGAACTAGACTTTGTCCTCGAAGTCTATTACAGCGAACAAATCTGGGTAGTGCTCTTGCATCTCCGCCTCGGGCTCCCATGTCCATTCGGAGCCATTCCGATGTTGCCACTGGACCTTGACCAGTGACACCTCCTTGCTACGCAGAGCCTTCATCTTTCGATCTAAGATCGCCACCGGTCTCTCCACATAATTCAAGAGGTCATCAACTTGGATATCATCCAGAGGTACAAGTGCGGACTCGTCGGTCACACACTTCCGAAGTTGAGACACATGGAAGGTGTTATGGATTTGGCTGAGCTTATCAAGAAAATCCAGCCGGTATGCAACCTTGCCCACTCGAGCCGAAACCCTGAATGGTCTGATAAATCTGGGGCCCAGGTTGCCCCGCTTCCGAAATCGGATGACACCTTTCCAAGGTGACACCTTCAGAAGCACCAAGTCTCCTACTTGAAACTCGAGGTCCGAACGCTGCCAATCAGCGTAACTCTTTTGTCAGCTTTGCACGATTCGCAACCTTTCGCACACATGTTGAATCAACTCAGTAGTCTTGAGTACCACATATGTGCTTCCCATGACCCGATGCCCAACCTCCCCCTAGTAAACCGGGGTCCTGCACCTTCTTTCGTACACCATCTCAAATGGTGGTCGGTCAATATTGGCATGATATCTGTTATCGTAAGATAACTCGGCCAGTGGAAGGTAAGTGTCCCAACTCCCTCCAAAATCCAACACACAAGCCCATAGTATGTCCTCGAGCGTTTGAATCGTCCGCTCGCTCTAGCCATCGGTCTAAGGGTGGTACACCGTACTAAAATGCAACTGAGTACCCAACTCCTCATGAAAGTTACTCCAAAACCTGGAGGTGAAATGAACATTCCGGTCCGAAAACACAGAAACAGGCACCCCATGCCGAACTACCACCTCCCAGACATAAATGTCAGCTAACTTCTCCGCGGATATGCTCTCGGCAATCGGTATGAAATGTGAACTCTTGGTCAGTCTGTCCACAATGACAATTTGTTTGATTATCAGCAGACTGAGGTGAGTTTTCTCACTATACTATACTGTAGGACACTAGGATATGTTATGTGCTTGTAGTCTTTGTGACTCATGTTGTATGTGTTATATGCATGTGTGTCTATTTGCTATATGTATATGGGGTGAAATAGACCCGATACAGCCTCGTGCGGGCACATGAGTTGAAATAGACTCGGGGGTGAAATAGACCCGATGGTGAAATAGACCCGATACGACTTTGGGCTGACACATGAGCTGAAATAGACTCGGGGGTGAAGTAGACCCGACATAGCTTTAAGCTGGAAGATATGTATGGTATGCGGGGAACTTACTAAGGTTCATGCTTACAGTTTTTAGTTTATGTTTCAGGTACTTCCGGATCAAAGGGGAAGAGCTCGGGATGATCGCATTGCACACACACATACACACACACACCATGATTTCCGATTTACTTGACTCTGATGTATTTGGGGATGTTTGATTGATATAATTTGTTTTCCTTATGGATTTATGAACATGTTTGATTGGTGATTTTATTATTAAAACGAAATTTTTGGTCTTAAATTTTAGGACGTTACTCTGAGGCTGCCAAGTG